GATTCTATTTTGTTTAAAGAAAAATTTGGGGGGGAAATCCTGGCAACTGTTTCTCAGAACAGAAGGTAGGAAAGCTTCACCATTCATGTTGGACTGTGTTTTGTCATTCCTACTTGAAAACATAGACTCACATCAGTAGCTGGACTAATGGATCATTAGGGAAGGATTGGGATATCAGCACAGTTGGCTCTGCGCTACTCTTGGCTGCCTTGTTTGTTCTAAACAAGTAATCCATCTGTTGTTATTTTCCAAAACTTAGAGGAGGAACTAATAACCAAAGCTAGGGAGCTGCAGTTGCCATGAATACCCCCTGGCTGGACTAAGCTGGCTGCTCTACATGTTATCCCAGTTCCTGGTAACTGACTGAAAATACTGCCAGCATTTCTAAAATAGCTCTTTATCTATCTAGGTCTAGCTTTCATTTCTGCAATATTTCAGACCATCTCAATCCTTTTGAATGCAACAAGAGTACGTTATTCTATACTTTGCTATAGTATAATGAACACCAGAGATATTGAAGGAGAACAAAAAAAGCAGAGGAAAGAAAGAGGGTGTGTATACAAACATTACAGCCAAGTTTCGAAAAGAAATCGCCACCTGCATCTGACAGGCCAGATTTACCTCACTGACCTGTGTATCTTAGCACATAAATCAGTCATGTCGTCACATTTCATTTTCATTCTGGTGGTCTGTGTAGCTTCACCATTCGTTGGTTCCAATCTGGTTTCAGACAGTCAAATCAGTACACCTACTAACATCTGCAGCAGCCGTCATAACCCAATATTTCTGCACGCTGCCTGCACAATCTCACCAGAGGCGTGTTATCACCTCTTCAAGACAACAAGCTACTTGTGTTCTTTCATTTGCATTCACTTGCCATTCTCAAAATAAGAGTTATATGGTCACCAGCAACTGGAACAAATCTTGAGTTGTCTCTGGGTCTCCCTTCTGCCTGGGGGAGAATCTCTGAGCTGCCACATGGAGAATACACGCCAGAACTGCTTTAGTTTACCAAGCTGACAGGTTAAGAGCACTTCTGCACATGAGCCAGGAATAGACAGATGTTCTCCCAGAATATAGTCCGAAATATTTCATAGAGAAGGGCTGCTAAGAGAAGTACTAAGGCCTCAGGATTTTAAGTACCGAAACGGTGCTTAACTGCAGCTCCTTTATGAATGCAACTGCATGGGTATGGCTCAACATTACAGGTGCTCACAATCCCAAATCCCAGATAAGAAACAGAGTTTGCAGTTTGTCAGACAAAGATGGTAAGGTATAACTTGGGTTTTAAAAGCCATCAGTACCACAGTAACCGCTAGAAGCAAGCAAGCAGCACAGTGTCACCTGGGATCTCAGCAGTGCTGCAGACCACAGCCTCATCTATGACTTGCTGCAACCACCTCCAGCCCTATCTTAGCACAGCAGCTACACCAAGAGCTGTAGTCCTTGTAGGCCTTCAGAAGATAGTTACCTGCTCTCCTCTACATCTGCTGCAAAGGATGGCCTCTCCTGATCAGAAAACAGGGCTGTTTAGTCCCCTTTGCACTGATGCAGCCCTTTTACACAAACTTCTGCAAAGCTATGAAACCAAGAACCCCATCCTGAGATGGAGAACAGCTGAAAAAAGTTGACTGCATAAATACAGCAGTCATACCCACATTGCTTGGACTTAGATCTCCACAAAAACAATCCTCTCCCTCCTGCCCTTTTCTTATATAAATGTCCCATTTACTTTTTTCTTTAAACATATGCATCAGTCATTTCACATTTACATTTAAAAATCTGACAGACTATTTGCAGTGCCCCTTGATACAAAAATAAACACTGTAATACTTAATGAGATTAGGAAAGTCAGTAAGTTTTCAATATTGCCGGAAAATAAAATCCACTTTTTCCCTGTGAGCTCATGAAAACAACCAGGAGAGAAGGATGGAATATCAGATAATGCTATTATTAGAAAGCAAGGCTAATGGTTCTTGCACTAATTAGCTCCCTATTGAGACTACCTTAACATATTTGTTCTGCTTGATACACAGTTACTAAAGACCTATTCTTCAGTGATGCAGGCTTTCTTTCTTTACTTCATAACATCTGAATAGCTCTAATTTGAATCAAAGTGCTATTTGGAAAGCCTCTAGCTAAATAATTTTCAGTTTTCTGAGATAACTGATTATTTGAAGACTAGTGTATTAATTTCTCATTAAATCATGAAGTTTATAGTTCATAACTGCATGGACACAAGCTTGTCAGAGTCATCAGCATGTAAGTAGGGCCAGGAAAAAACGTTTTAAAAGCACAAAAAACATACCATTTGTTGTTTTTAAGTAAGTACAAATGGTTTCGTATTTATACTTTTCAACTCTGTCCTGATGGAGACTGGTGTGGAGAAATGCTAGGCTTGTTAGTATCGTCTTAAGCAAAGGAAAGCAATGTGTTTATCATGCCCTGGATAGAGCAAGAACAAGAGCTCAGCAACTTGCTCATCTGGTAAAAAACAGCAAAAAGTTAAGAATGCTGGTATCCATTTTTCCCTGCTACAAATATTATGAGGAGGGATAACAGAAAACCTAACGCAGCAGAAAGACGGCTCTGTTTTGGCTAAAGCATGAAGAACCAAGAAGAAAAACAGTTTCAGCACAAAACTCTGAAGGCCACAATGCCCAGAGTGAAACCTTTGCTTAATTATCTAGAAAATTAATATTACAGTTAACATCCCTGCATATGTTAATGAGAATTATAGAGAGCATGCTATACATATATGACTATGTTACTCAACTCTCTACCTAAATCATGCTATATGTAATCCGTGGGAGAGGAAACAAAGAATTAGAGAATAAAAAGAGGAGAACATGGGGTAAAAATTGGGAGGAAGGGACTGAAGACCTAGAAGAGATGGTCAATGGGCTATGCTCCTCTTCCTTGACCCAAGATAGGGACGCCTTCTTGGTAAGAATTGTGCCTTCGCCCCCTGGCAAAGAATACCCAGGAAAACTTGACCAGCATTATTATAGTATATTAGTGCAACTGCAGTAATTGTATTTATCAATGGCAATTCTGTACTTCTGTTATACCTGCTGTCTTAATAAATTACCTATATTTGCAACTTCACAAAACTGTTTCAGCAAAAGTACCTGGGAAGGCTCTGACAGGCAAACACCAAATCCATACTCTTAACACCACAACTGGCTGTGAAAATTATGCAGGACAACATCTCCTACAGCTGTAGTTAATATTACACTTTTGCTGCCATAATTCCATAAAATAAGGGCACTGGTGAAGTCATGGAAGAGTATATTCCAAGTTTTGGTTTTGCAAATAAGAAATTATAATTTATCTCACAATGAGCAAGCCAATCAGTAAGGGCAATGTTTGACACATAAAGATGATCTTAGAAGAATTTCTCATCAAGCTTTATGAGGAAAAAATTCAGTTACAAAGTCTGGGAAAATGCAACGAACTGCGCTACATTAAACATATCTACTCTTTTCTACATGGATTTTAAAAGAATAGCATCAACCTGAAAGGTATTTTTTTTAAAGCTTTCTCACTTATTGTATCAGTGTTTTAGCCAGTTAGGGTGGAGGAAGATCATTCCAAAAGGATCAGTGACTAGAGACAGGGATGAGGAATGGATCTATTTCTTCAATTCAGTAATTTTCCTCTTCTAACCAGGTCACCATTATGGCTGCTTGTACTGGGAGGCCCCTGGGGCGGCCTGAGGGCAATAAGACCTGGAAGTGCATCAAGGCCCTGACAATAGGAGCTCAAGGGACAGCTGAGCTGGAGGGACCATGGGCCAGCCTCACACAGCTCTTGGGCTACTCCCCTCTCATTTAGGTGCTGTGGGAGGGGAAAAAAGAACCTACATGTCAGGTATGAGGATTTTCATGCGCATCATCTCAGGAAGAAATGTCTCCTTCCACTGGGGACAGGTAAAAAGCCTTATCTCCACCTGGAGAGCTTGTCCCTTCAGAAAAGACTCCCTTGACTTTGGGGGCCTTTCTCTTCATAACAGCCACACTGTAGATGGGTGCCAACAGCTCCTCTACCAACCCTGAGGCAAGAGCAGAGAGTGACTCCAGCACCTTTCAAGGAGCCTGGGAAAGTCTCCTCGAGGGACTCCCCAGGGCTGAGATGAGCAGGAGGTGGCAAGCTGGCTGGGGAAGGGTGTCCCCAGAGCTCACAAGTCAAAATGCCTCTGCACAGCTCTTGGGGCTTCACAGCCACAGCCAGTACCTGTCCACTCCACCACACACACTACTCCTGAAATGCCCTCACTGGGACAACTCTAGTCCCACACTCTGGCCCAAAGCAAGGCTCCCTCCAGCACTCCCAGACTCCATGGCTCCTGCTCTCTCCCTGTCCTCATTTTCCCCAGCCCTCCTCAGCCTTCTTGCCTCACCGAGCCCTGGGCAGCACCTGGATAAGCAGAAGGAGAGTGCAGAGGGAGCAGGGGCTCACTCTTCTCAATCCGCAAGGGCTTTCCTTGGCACTCAAGTTTGTCCCAGGCAAGGCCAGGAGCAAACTGACATGCCAGAGCCTGGAAGAATTAGCCCAAGCCCTGCTCCCCACCCAGGTTCCAGGGAAACACGCAGCCACTTGGGCATCAGCAATATGCTCTCCCCTTGCCATCCACGGGCATCAGCTTGCAGGACATCAGCCCTCACCTCCAGCTCAGCCCACACAGCCCCCTGGGAACCAGCAGGGCCAGGACACATGCCAGGGCTGGGCATCAGCACCATTGCCAGAGGCCTTCATAGGTGGCTGTATGCATTGTGACTCCTGGAGTCCTTTGCTGAGACAAATGGGCCTGGACATAGCCCCAGCAGCCCTCTCCACTGCTTGGAGGAGCCCTTGGTCAGTGCCATCAGTTCTGGGGCATCCCTCCTGCCCTAGATGCTCAGCATCCCCTCATCAAACTCTGCCCCTCCCCTCAACAACCCCCTCCCCCTCTTTGCAAGGCTTTCAGAGACCTGGGCAGACCCTGCCCAAGCATTCACCTGCATCAAGGATGTGAGGAATTGCTCCTTTGGAGGCATACCCTTCCTCTTCCTGCTGCTCCCTGCCTCCCCAGTACAAGGACTGTCTGGCATCGCAGCTCAGATGTATGTTTGTTGCAGTGCTTTCTCCTCCTCCTCCTCCCAAGTCTAGCTTCCTGCAAGAGAAGGAATAAAAAGAGATGAGCTTCCCCCAACCATGACCTTGCTCAGCCAGCACCCCTCCTGGAGCTGGGACAGGGTTTATGGCACCCCTGAATGTGAGTCTGTCTCCTCCTGTCCTCCAGGCAGGCCCTTTACTTGGAGACAGCCTGGCTGCAGGGACTGTGAGCCCTTGGGCCATTCCCCTCTCTTTTAGGTGTGGTGGGAGAGAAGAAAGGAATCAACATGTCAAGTACAAAGATTCCCATGTGCATCATCTCAGGAAGAAATGTTTTCCAGGCTTTGCAACAGGGACAAGCAAAAAAGCTGCTCCCCACCTGGAGACCTTAGAGTATCTCTCTGACATTCATAGCAAGCTGGAATTCCTGGGGCAGAGGGACAACTCAGAGGAGCAGAACCCTGCTCTGCCATGCCATTGAGACACATTTGTCCTCCCTTTATAACAGACATTTCTGTTTAAAAATAGTAGAGGGAATGTCCTGCTAATAGAGATGAACCTCTGTAGATGGAGAGCTTGTCTACACCACACAGATCTATTTGGGGAAGTTACTCTCAAGTAAAACAGCATATGAGTTTCCAGTGCATTTTTTGGTGTCATATTATCTCCCCATGAGAACAGCCTTAGTAAACAGTACACTTAGAAGACCACTAAATAAAGCTGCATATGCTACTTGATAGAAAGACTTCACTGCAAAGTTGTTCATATGTTATAGATTTACATTTTAGAAATTGTAAATAAGCTCTTTGCCACACTGCACCATTCTCAAACAGATCAGGAAAAGCTGACAAATAACACCATCTTTTCCAATAACAGGTCAGTCACACCATTCTGGTTTTCATAAACATGGGAAAAAGCAATGGCAAAGGAGTGGGTATTTGTCATTCTTGTGTAGCTTGTAGCATTGACTCAATACTTACTCAAGCTCCTTTAATTGAGTTTAATGAATTCCGAATCAGGATTTTAATGACCATTATATGCACATATGCATCTAGTTACAAAAAAAAAAAAAAAAAAAAAAAAGAAGACTTTAATTCAATTATAAATGTCACCCAGCAGAGAAACCAGGCTTGCAGCTCTGAAAATGCCTGATGCCTGTTTTCCTTTTGTTAGAACTGACAAAGACTTGCTCTGGAAGGTCACAGCCTCCTCTTGCTACTCTAAGCTTGGAGCCTGGGGTTTTTTCCTCAGAGTGAAAGCACTTTACCTTTTTCACTCTCTGCAAACAAAGCATTGTGTCCGTTTTGAGAACAGGGCAAAAAAGGCCAGAGAGGAGGAATGTATCATGAAGCCAGGTGTGGTCACTTTTTACCTTTTCTGTTTGAATTCCAACAGACAGCAATGACAAGCCTTTTCCTTTTGCAACAAAAAGAATTTACAGACTTGGTGAATAAAAAGAACACTGTGAAATATAACTGCTGGGAGCAGTTAAAAGCTACACATTTTGCCTTACTTTTCCATTTTGTAGAAAAGTACCTCAAAACCAGAAGAAAAGAAAATCAGGACAGGAAAGGAGCTGTTATTCAGGGCTTGTGCCACTTATTACCTGTATTATTGCATGTGTGTGTGTATATATATATATGGAGATGTGCCTATGACTATGTTCATATACATGTATGTTTACGTTATAATATTAGTTTTGTTACATAAGTGTTTGTGAGGTACAATAATCTCAGTTATCATTTTCTAATGAAAAAACTGTACATAGCATGTCAAAAAGGAAGTGAGAGAACAACACTCTCAATTAAACCAGAGGCTTTAGAAAACACCAGTATATCATAACACCTCCTCATAACAGTTACCAGAGCCAGAGGCTGCTGGTGTAGCCGGTTTGTTACTTGTTCCACTCAAGATTGCAGACTGCCATCTTCTGGTGGCCGTACTTAAAGTCACACTGTGAGAGCCGTCTTTTGAATAAAGTTACTTAAAATATCATCTTTATTAATCACAGAATCACAGAATGTTAGGGGTTGGAAGGGACCTCGAAAGATCATCTAGTCCAACCCCCCTGCCAGAGCAGGACCACCTAAAGTAGGTCACACAGGAACGTGTCCAGGAGGGTTTCGAATGTCTCCAGAGAAGGAGACTCCACAACTTCTCTGGGCAGCCTGTTCCAGCGCTCTGCCACCCTCACAGTAAAGAAGTTTTTACTTATGTTAATGTGGAACCTCCTGTGCTCCAGCTTACACCTGTTGTCCCTTGTCCTATCATTGGCCATCACTGAGAAGAGCCCAGCTCCATCCTCCCTGCAAGCACATTTATTCCAGCATAACATTTTTCCTGATATCCCACTAAATGGCACAGGTTGCATCTACACTGCTTTTCAAGGTTTGGTCCATTGCCAACTAAAATCCAAATTAGATTTGTGTCCACATGAGCCCAAGCACTGGCTTAAGGCTTGGGTTGGGGTGGGATGGAAGATATAACACGTAACTTGAGCTAATATTCTTTCTACCCAGGGATGCTCTTACCTTAAGCATAGTAGATGGCCCAGGTATACCATGGCTCACCAAGGGCTCATCAAACCAGCCTAGACCATGTGGTGTTCCATCTGCCCTTGTGGCAATGCTACACAGACAGCATCACAAAAAGAATACAGTCAGAGTGTCCCATTGTAGGAAACACCTTTTGTTTTGAGTCATAGGCAGCTTTTGCTCAGTAATGTCTATATGGCATTTTGCAGGCATTATACCAGTCCTGCACCCTACTTCTCACAGCGTGCTCATAGCGTGTTCAGGCACGGTTAATGTTGAGCTGGAACCTGGTTTTGGTTCATCCTTATAAAACACAGTACAGGTGTAGCATACGCATAAATAATGTGAAAAAATTGGCATATTTCTCATTTAAATTAGAAGCACATTACCAACAGTTTTCTTATTCCCTTCCACTAGGGTGTATCACATTTGTTTTAATTTGTGGAAAACAAAAAATCTGCTCTCCTTTGGCACAGTCTTCAAAACAAAATACGTTGCTGAGATACATTTCTTAGAGAAAAATTGTCAAGAATAAAAAAAACACAGAAGCCAAGGTTGGATTCTCTAATCTCTCAAAAAGAAAATTCACTTTCTAATCACTCAGAAAGAAAATTTGTTTTCGTATGCACACCTGGAAAGGCAAGACTAAAACCTGATTGCTGTGCTCTGAAACTACTGTCTAGTAAGAATCCCATAGCAGCAGCCATAAAATTATCCTTCTTTATGCAATATAGTTGCCACTCTTCCTCCACTTAAATGAACACAGCCAACAGTGCATTATAATTTACTGCATTCTTTCAGGCACAAGAAAAGTAAACTGAAAACACTGCAAGCTCAGCTATAATGATAGACTACATTCATTACATTTTGGCAAAGAGATTTCACAAATTATCTTTTAAAACTCCTGGATTTTCATCTAAAGAGTAGCATCATACCTGCAAGGCTTGTTTTCTACTATAACAGTGCAGAGTTTGCTTCACTTTCACCTGTTTTTCATTTTCATTGTTATGAGAATCTTGTACAGCAATTTTGTCAATCTACTGTCTCAGCCATACAGTCTTCAGCATCAGCTACGAATTGATTTTCTGAATTGACTGCATTTCTGATATATGTGGCCAGTTGGGAAGGACTTGTATCTTTTGTCAGATATGCTGTCCCAAAGCCCTGCTTCTCAATTAAAAACAGCCCCACCCATACACCCAAACTGTTCGAAACTCAGAAGAGTGGCTGACACTGGAGTTGAGCCGAGAACACAACTTTTTCATTTGCTTTTGTTCTATTTCCTGTCATTGAAGTTTTCAATTTGTCACTTTAGTGTTAATTTTCTTTATTATCGTCCTGCTCTGTATGCTACAAACAGCTATGTACACCTTGTCCATGCTAACTCCAAGGTGAACATCAATATTTTTCAGCAATGCTTTGAAAGATTACTTTAAAGTAAATTTTATCTACTTATTTTACAAAGGTAGAGATCTTGAAGACATGGGAAAACCAATGACATTTGTAAGTTTACAATTTGTGAAATAAGAAACTGCAAAATTCGAGCCGCTTACTTTTCTCTCATAGGGTACCCATCTCACTGCCACTGATTATCACGTTCTCTCTCACACTAGATTATTAAACTACAGGTATACTGTTGCTCTGCAAATGTTTTTCTGACTCGAGCTGTAAACAAATTCAATTTAGTCTGATAAAAACTGATCAATAACTAACTTCAGGCAAAAATATGCTGCAAAACAACTGCAAAAACCAAAACAACTTCCCCAAACTTATAAATAAACTAGCTTCCCACTTTCCTTTGCTTTTCAATGGAGGTAACAAAACTGCTTCATCATCATTTTGGTGGTGTATCCCATCCAAAAACTCTAAATTATAAAATATTGAAAGAAAATGCTCTAACATTCAGTTAATAGATGCATATATGTAACTTACAATTCTGTGAAAGATTGTTCATAACTTCCTGTTCCATTATTGGGCTTCAAATGGAAATATTTGCTTTGGTCCTTTTTTTCTAACAAGTCATCTACTGCGTTCTCTATTAATCAAAAAGTATTACCTGTTTCCCAGTAATGCATCTATTATCAGTATTTAAATAAGGGAGAACAACCTGAATGCAACTGAGGATCCTTAGTAACTCTGGCTTTTTTAACTACAGTCTATCAAAAGGATTTTCTAGAAAAAGAGAATGAAAGGAAATAAATGCAGAAAAAATGAAGCTCAGATTATCAGATTTTAAATCCATAAAGAACCAATGCCATCACATAGCAAGGGAGAAGAGCTTCTCTTAAACTGCATTTGTGAAGCAAAACCACTTTGATAATCCCCAGTATGAAAATTTAGTGGATCCATTATTAGCAATTGAAGTAAACTCAGGGTTTAACACTTGTCCCATACTGGGTTGAGCAAAATTCAGAATGCCACAGATCTACCGTAGTCCTTACCAACAGGGAAGTTCAAGTGCTACTGTTCAGCCTGAAAAATACAATTGCAATTTATTAGAGGAACAGTGATTGTTAGAGTCACTATGACTCTAACAATCTATTTTTTAAAAAAGACATGAAATAAGTGTTATCACACAAAGTATTTCCACCTACTTTAAAAAAAATCTTTAGAAAATACAAAATTTCTTTTAGGCCAGAATGGAAATTTAAAAGAAATATATGAAATCAAAGGAGCTGACAATCTATTTTTCAAAGAATACAGTAAGTTTTGATTATGCAACTTGAAATTTTCATGTTCTGTTGTGCAAATAAATTCTCCACACACTCCCCATTTTCTTGAAAAAGCATCTAACATGGTCCCTGAATTGTGAATGAGAGTGATGCTAAATGATGAAATTGGAAATACAACGGGACACCGACAATTTCCTAAGCATTGTGTAATAGATGCAAAGTTCTAAAAATTTAACTCCACACAACCAATCATAGAATTAATACATATTCATTTTTTAAGGATTAAAAAAGTAGATCTACACCATCCAGAATTAAAAAATTACAAGCAGAAGAGAGATTACAATAGCCCATGTTATTTAAGTCAAGTCACTCTACAAATAGTGAGTCATAACTGATTGCATCTGGTTTCAGTTTTTAATTGTGAAGATAAAAATCTTTTAAGTGTCCATGTCTGCTTGATGTTCAAGACAGGTTAGACTAAAGAAAACTACAGCGAATATCCAATAAAAGGATCCAAGGGAAAGGGCTGACCTCTCTTTATTGTGATTTAAGTTTGATGATGCACTATACATGATGAGGGTACCACTATCTCACAACCGATCAGCAGGCAATTCATAAGGAGGTCAAAGAACAGAAAAGGCCATAGAATCATGTATAATTTAGCAATTTCATCAATAAACAATTCTTCAGACACTGAAAGAGGCATGTGGAGAAGGAGAAAGGGAACAAAAATACCACAAACATCTTGCAAGCAAACTTCAATTTTGGGTGCATGCAGGAAACTAGGTAAATAATTTCCCAATTTGCATCAACAACCGTAATAATCATGCATGGAAATACAGACACACATACATTTATACTTTGCACACTACACTTGATCCACTTGGGCAGGTGATGATACTGCAAAAATAAGTAAGATAAATAAATAAGAAAAAAAGAACAAGAAGTAAAAAGCAGCAAATAATTATTCAATCACCTTGGACTTCACCAACTTAGCTTTAGTAACATAACAGTCAACAGTTAAAAGCACAAAAGCAAAACCTCTGAAGAGTAAAACTCTTTACAGAAACATGTAGCTACAATGGCCTAATCAGACCTGACATAGTTATTCTGATTCTTGAATCCTGTAATAGTCATAAAGAATTTCTCCTTATTATGTGTCGCAGTCTACCAGATTTTTTTTTTTTATTGTAGTGTGGTAAAACTAATCCTTCTAAAAGCTATTACTAGCAATTTGTATTTCAAATTTCTGGAGAACAGAAAAGCAGAAACTGTTTTTTGATCATCCATGGTCACATACCTTAATTTAATTTTAAGAAAAACTGTCATTCCAAATAGATTTCTAGTAAGAAACGCTCCAATGTATAATAATATAAAGAAATATTAATATGCAACATCCTGCAAAGTCTAGAAATATTTTAATTTTTTGTTTATATCTATAAAGATTCCTTTTCAAACATCAGTGACACTAGCCACAAAAATTAAATTCAGAAATTTTTTAACTTGTTTTAACTTTTATACATGTTAACTACGATGCACCTATTACAGTCAAACTTATCACCACAGATACTGCAAGTGCAAAGTCTCATCATGCTAAATAAACAAGAGACTAGGAATGGAGTCAAATGCTTTACTGAGTTAAGTGCTCTTAGCTGTGATACTCTGAATTTCCTTTCCACAGTACTTTTTTTCGAGCACAAATATCATAAGGTGACAAGCACAGGAATTTTTACGATGTAATGTGATATTACAAATGCAGAAATTTAGATACCAGAACAAAGCAGAATTCCAGTCACTGTCTTATCACATTGGCTACACATACACTGCATAGGTCTGCAAGAACAGATATTTTTACAGAAATAGTGTATAGCAATGCATTAAGTATCAGAGAAAGTAAAGTAAAATACAATTCTTTGAGACGAAGCAATGACATTTTTTACTTTCATCTCAATAGCACATAAACAAAAAACCCCACATACCTCTGGGAGTACCAAAAAAGGTCAGTTATAACTTTAAATGGACCAATGTAACACTTTAATACTAATTCTATAAAAATTATATTATTTCATTTTTATTTTATTCTTGATTATTCTCTACTATCTAGGGATTATTCCACATACAGAACATTAGGTAATTACAGGTATATACCAGCATGTGTTAGGTCTATTATTCTGTGAAGGTCCCTCTCACCTTTCCCTTTTGCCCTTTTTCAAGAGGAAAATTGATAGCACTTTACATCTAAGACTAAATTGAAATTACATACGCAATTCATATGCCATTTGGATTATGCATTAAAGTGCCATTTGTGCCTTTAGAAATCTGTCTGCTGTCTGAAATGACAGGACTGCTTGCATGCTGAATAAGACCTTTTTCACTTTTCTGAGACAAAGGCACCTGTTTTGCTTCCTCCTTTTGCCATCTTCACCATACTACGCTAAACTTGCAGGTTTAATTTAGTAGACAGGTAGGGACTGACAATTTTAAAATTTTGGTCACATAGATTCACATTTCCATCTCCATGCTTAGGTGAGCCCATTTTTACAGCCTAGAACACAAAACTGTGATCTATTATCTATGCATTTTTACCTGCTTTTTCAATTTGGCACAGTGTAATAGATATAAGTGGAAGCAAGTAACCTCAACTTTTTACTCACAAGCTGAACTATGTCCTTCTCAAATTTCAGTTCTCAGAATAGTTCTCTAACACTGTGACAGATGGACCATGCACAATGGCTTTCCCCTACCATGTGAGTGACAGGGAACAGGAAATCTTATGAAGACGTATAGAAGGAAGATCAGGAAGAAAGTGAGACCCAGTCAGCAGTCACAAACATTTCGTAGCCATCTTAGAATTTTTAATTCCCAGATGGTCCAGGTGGTCCACAACTAGCATCACTGTAAGCATTTATATTTGGGGGAAGGTAGAGCGCAGCCTCTTTTATCCATATATAACCAGTATGGTTGAAGTCTTCCGCCTATAAATTCCTCTTTTCTGTCTTTCATTTTGCACACCACACATTCAATTATCTCTTGACACTAACAAATAAAGAACAATCTATAACTCATAAAAATTGAATGTGGCATTCTACTCTTAAGTAACTGGCTAGTTTTGCACCATCAAGGTAATTATATTACTTAGGAGAATAAAATGTGTGTAGAATATATAAAAATGAAGAGAAGTTATAAATTTTTCTTGCATGTTGGACTTTTTTAATTAGAGGTCTGAGAAATCTGTAAATAGAACCCAAGTGGTACAAGAACTAATATCTTGTCACATGGAATCAATCTGTTCTTGAATGCTGATTGCCTGTTTGTAATCTTCTACAGCCTCTTTATTGAAACCAAATTTACCATGAATATCAGCTCTAAATTTATACATCAAAGCATCATTAGGCTGAACTGACAATGCTGTAAAAATAAAAAATAGAATGTTAGGCTTTTTTTTTTTTTTTTAACATTATCACATGTTTATAAAGAGAGGCATCATCCAAAAACTTTCATCAGTGCTCAAATTCTTCCCCAGGCATATTTCACAAGAGAAAACATATTATATGCATAGAACTTTACATCAAGAGGTAGGCAACTTTGTCATTTATACTCCAGATTTTTTTTTCTCTTTTTGATGCCATTTATGAATCCCAGTTTAATTTTGCCCCAAAAGCAGAAACTATGTTTTCTTCTGAAACACAAGCAAAATCTTTGACAAGAAAACCACTACCATCCAACTTCTGGAACACAGCAATGAACCAAATATCTTACACAGTTTCTCCATTGTATAAAAAGGATTTATTAGATACTTATTGGAAAGCTTAATCTGCTGTTTTAAAAATCTGCTTTAGAGAGAAATTTTTTTTTAAATCTGTCAGCTCCCTGGTTGAGTCAACTTCCACCATCTAACACTATGAAAACATTAGTCATGAAAGCCATGAAAAAACACTATTTTGACAAATTCCACTGTAAAAGTAAACTAATTTCTAAAACAAAAACAAACAAAAACAAAAGTTATCCTTTCAGGAAAGATCATTACCTGTGCAATCAAGTGTTGTCAAATCAAAGCCACATTAATAAATTTTGTTTCAATAAAATTAATACAAATTACACATAGCTTTAGTTACTGGAAGAAGTTTGCCTGTGTATCCAGAGTTGCTGATCTCGTGTTAGTAGCAATGGCAAACGCAGCAATAGAGTAACATAGCTCAGCTGTTTTGAACCTGAACAAAAGTTTTGGGTTTTACTAAGATCAAGATGAAAGTTTGATTCAGTTCCTTTTCTCTATGAACCACGTCTATTCCCAACAGAAAAGGTTATGGAAGCCAAAAACTGTTTCAAAACTTGTTCTACAAAGAGCATGTTCATTAAATTTCATGTTTATATATAAAATAAGCTACTTGAATGTTGTTTTCTAGGCACCTAGACATCTCAACACATACACAGACACACAAAAACTCAAAAATTTTTCAGACTTGATAAGTATAGTCTTTTCCCATAACTTCTTGCCGCAACTTCATTTAGAATGGGGCTCTGTTCAGCTGCTAATGGCAACCGTTATATGAAACAGTTTATCTTCTCATTTGCATATTCTTTCAATTTTGAGAATGGAAAAATCCCACAATTAATTAGCATGTTTAATTTAACTTCCTCTTTTTAATCACATCATAATATCTGATCAAATTAGGTAGAAAATATATTAGGCAAAATACACACATAGTTTTGGAATCATGAAATAAAGACAAGTAGTTTGTTATAGTAATTGTTAGTATGCTACCAAACATAATCATGACAGGTAAATAAAGATTACCTGTTGAAATGTCTTTCTCAGCTAGTTCATATTGCTTCAACCCATTACAGAAATTTGCTGTGTTAAAATACACTGCTGCAGAGAATGGGCAGAGACAAATTGCCTTCTCAAAGTCTGCTTTGGCTTCTTCAGAATTGTTTGCTAATGTATTTGTAATAGCACGATTCATAACAGCAGATTCATTTCTTGGGTCATGTTGTAATACCTTGGAATAATAGCAATAGGCCACAAAACACATGAATTGGAGACAAAGTATGCTGTTAAATTTTGACAAAATTGCTTACATACAACTTATAAATTCCAGTTTGTTTCTTTAAGCCGTTAGTATTCTTAAGTCTTTACTTGTTCTGTTCAGCATTCTTTGTGCACAGAAAAGAGACACACAGCACCGGCGTGTTTATCCATAAATAGATCTATCATCACCCAGACAGGCTTCTGAAAAATAGCAGCTATTTATGCTGAATTGTAATTATAGCAGAAGAAATAAGCTACACACTAAGGCCAATTTGAATTAACATAGAAAACAGTTTCTAATGCAACACCTAGTCTTGAACTTCTTTCTTCATAATTAAACAGCCTCTGTGAGACAGTAAGGAGTCACAGAAACACAGTGAAGAGGAAAAACAGCCTATGCAAGACCAGTTATGGATCAATGATACCAGATGCATAAGAAAAGAAATTATATGATCACAGAAGCAGCCATATGTGGGGCACTGACCTGGGACTCCTAAGGAATTTTTTTGATCCAAGTCTAAATAATGCTCAAGAGCAATAAGGAATCTAACTCTTTTTTTTTTTTTCTGCTTTCGTGAATAACCGACGCTTTGTGTTAATCTCCCGATTCGATTAATTTACGTTATGGTAAGAAATACCCAAAACCAGGGGGGTGGCTGCTCCTGATGGGCCTCAGAGTTATATTAAAAATTCAGCATTTTATATCCTTTTCCTGCAAAGTCGTGATCTTTAACATATTTTAACGTGTTATACCAGCTGTTAACATTGACATTTACAACGATTGCCCCCCCCCATTAAATAACTTCATTAATACTCGTATACTAATATAATCATTGGTTATTTTACCAATCAAAATCTGATCTGCAAATCAGGATGGGGAGGATGGGAGAGTCTTCTCAGCAACACTCCTTGGTTTCCAGGGTTCCATCCCGTGGGATAACGAGCTGAGAACGTGCAGTTTCACCCCTCGTCCCCGTCTCCCGAGTTCCGCACAGCGTCACCCCACGCAGCAGCTCCGGCTTTGGCCATTTCGGCAGGTGCTGTCCCCTAGCACCGGCGGGGGTTCATTAAATTTCATGTTTATATATAAAATAAGCTACTTGAATGTTGTTTTCTAGGCACCTAGACATCTCAACACATACACAGACACACAAAAACTCAAAAATTTTTCAGACTTGATAAGTATAGTCTTTTCCCATAACTTCTTGCCGCAACTTCATTTAGAATGGGGCTCTGTTCAGCTGCTAATGGCAACCGTTATATGAAACAGTTTATCTTCTCATTTGCATATTCTTTCAATTTTGAGAATGGAAAAATCCCACAATTAATTAGCATGTTTAATTTAACTTCCTCTTTTTAATCACATCATAATATCTGATCAAATTAGGTAGAAAATATATTAGGCAAAATACACACATAGTTTTGGAATCATGAAATAAAGACAAGTAGTTTGTTATAGTAATTGTTAGTATGCTACCAAACATAATCATGACAGGTAAATAAAGATTACCTGTTGAAATGTCTTTCTCAGCTAGTTCATATTGCTTCAACCCATTACAGAAATTTGCTGTGTTAAAATACACTGCTGCAGAGAATGGGCAGAGACAAATTGCCTTCTCAAAGTCTGCTTTGGCTTCTTCAGAATTGTTTGCTAATGTATTTGTAATAGCACGATTCATAACAGCAGATTCATTTCTTGGGTCATGTTGTAATACCTTGGAATAATAGCAATAGGCCACAAAACACATGAATTGGAGACAAAGTATGCTGTTAAATTTTGACAAAATTGCTTACATACAACTTATAAATTCCAGTTTGTTTCTTTAAGCCGTTAGTATTCTTAAGTCTTTACTTGTTCTGTTCAGCATTCTTTGTGCACAGAAAAGAGACACACAGCACCGGCGTGTTTATCCGTAAATAGATCTATCATCACCCAGACAGGCTTCTGAAAAATAGCAGCTATTTATGCTGAATTGTAATTATAGCAGAAGAAATAAGCTACACACTAAGGCCAATTTGAATTAACATAGAAAACAGTTTCTAATGCAACACCTAGTCTTGAACTTCTTTCTTCATAATTAAACAGCCTCTGTGAGACAGTAAGGAGTCACAGAAACACAGTGAAGAGGAAAAACAGCCTATGCAAGACCAGTTATGGATCAATGATACCAGATGCATAAGAAAAGAAATTATATGATCACAGAAGCAGCCATATGTGGGGCACTGACCTGGGACTCCTAAGGAATTTTTTTGATCCAAGTCTAAATAATGCTCAAGAGCAATAAGGAATCTAACTCTTTTTTTTTTTTTCTTACACGATCTGCTTCTTGTGCTGTATGAAGTATAATCTCAGTTTAAAATCATATGCCAAGCCTGTACTATACATGATGAATTCCTTTATAAGTGAACTGCAAGCTGTAGTGTTTACAGATGCAACCTTAGGAATGAATTAATTCAAGTAGATGAAATGTGCTGAAGCATCCATGCTGGTTCTGGGTTTCCACAGCTGCTGGACCACAAAGCTCCAATCAAATCAAAGCCTGACCCTATGCCCAGGAAATGTGACTGGAAGACCAAAGGAAAAATCATTGCAGGGGCCTCCTGCAAAATAAATGGTCCTTGCCTTCAAGTAGACATCAAATTCTCCCAGAGGAATTGCAGCATGCAACTCTTCTGTACTTCAAGATACCCACTGTATTTAAGCAGAATTAGGTGATTTAAAACTCCAAAGTTGCTGTGATAATAGGAGGAAGATCTGACTTCTTGATTAAAGTTCATCACCAGGAAATTATTTTCATTCTGCTTGTCATGGTTCTATAGTGAATCTGAGCAAGTTATTTAAAGTGTGTGAGTTAGACTCGGGGGGGCAGGGGGAGTTACTGAACATGAGTAGAATTTTGGTATCTCAATTATTTACAAATTTTTGTGATGTGTATCCTAGCTGTCATGAATCCTAGTTCATTCATATGAATGACAAAATACATACTAGTAGGGCAATTATTTATTATTACTACAGATTAATTCATCTCCTGGTAGAGGACCATGAAATTCAATGTAGGAAAGCTTCATGTTAATTATATACATACTTAAAGACAGCTTTTTACCAACAGCATTTATTCAAGGAAAAAAGTTCTGAAGACAGTATAATGACAGACTGTAGACTTACCCATGAAAATTGTCAGTTATAGAAGTAGATATTTGCTGCATTGAAATAGGCTAATGCATAGTTTGGGTCAACAGAAATTGCTTGTTGGTAGTCCTTCACAGCACAGGGTAGATATCCCATTAACTGATTGATGATACCCCGATTTGTTAGCCACGGAGTGGTGACAGTGAGCTGAAAGGAAAAAGTAGATGCATTCTTACTCAGGGAAAATTTACACTTCTAAAGTAATTTATTCAGGGTTTCAAAGATACATTTACTTTAAAAAAAAAAATAAAATAAAATCACACCTAATCCAAATTGTCAAGTATTAATGTACAGTATTGCTAGCTTCATAGCAACAGGTTGATTTTAGTAAAATCGCTTTCAGCTAACATCTACCTTTAGTGTGGCATTTGTATCTTGAAATGCAGCAAAAGTTTCACCCACTTGAAGGCAGACAAGCTCGTCCATCATATGCAGCATGGCGTTTTGGATCAATGCAAATGGCAACTGTAAATTGGCTCCATGTGCTCTGAAGCTTTCCAAGGGCCTAAAATGAATTGCAATGTGTAGACAATAAGAAATTCCAAACATATTAATGGTCCCACTTAAAAAATTACAGCAGAGACAGGCTGGAGAGACGGGCCCATGCAAAATTCATGAAGCTCAACAAGGCCAAGTGCAAGGTCCTGCACCTGGGTCAAGGCAATCCCAAGCACAAATATAGGCTGAGTGATGAGCAGAGGGCAGCCTTGTGGAGAAGGACTTGGGGGTGTTGGTGGATGAAAAACTGAAAGTTAGCCAGCAATGTGCACTCACAGCCCAGAAAGCCAATCACATCCTGGGCTGCATCAAAAGAAGCGTGGCCAGCAGGTCAAGGGAGGTGATTCTCCCCCTCTGCTCTGCTTTGGTGAGACCCACCTGGAGTACTGCAGAGTTTGATCATCCTCACAGTAAAAAAAAAAATAAATAAATTTCGGATGTTTAAATGGAATTTCCTGTATTTCAGCTTGTGCCCATTGCCTCTTGTCCTGTCACTGCGCACCATTAAGAAGAGCCTGGCTCCACTTTATTTATACTCTTTCACCAGCTTATACGTATTTATAAGATTCCCCTTTAAGCCTTCATCTCTCTTTCTCTTCTCCTTGTGTGACAGATGCTTTAAGCCCTTAATCATCTCGGTGGCTGTTTGCTGGATGAGTACCAGTATGTTCATGTCTCTCTTGTGCTGGAGAACCCTGGGGAGTACTGGACACAGTAGTCCAGATGTGGCCTCACCAGTACTGCGTAGAGGAGAAGGATCATCTGTCTTGACCTTCTGGAAATGTTGCTCTTAACATAGCCCAGGGTATCATTGGCTTTCTTTACTGCAAGGGCACGTCACTGACAGCTTCAGCTTATTGTCCACCAGGATGCCCAAGTCCTTCTCTGTAAAGCTGCTTTCGCACCAGTCAGCTCCCAGCTTGTAGCTGTGCATGAGGTTATTCCTGTCTAGACGCAGAACTTCTCACTTTTATCTGTTGTACTTCATGAGGTGCCTGTCTGCCGTTTCTCCAGGCTGTCCAGCCTGTCATCCCTCTAAGTGAAAGCACGACTATTCGGTGTATCAACCACTCCTCCCAATTTTGTAACATTTGCAAACTTGTTGAAGGAGTACTCTACTCCATCATCCAGGTCATTAGCTAAGATGATAAACTGTATCAGACCCATTACTGACTCCTGAGGGTACTTCACTATTGACTGGCCTCCAGCTGGACTTTATGGCGTTAATAATGACCCTTTGAGCCTGACAGTTCGAACAGTTTTCATTTCACCTCCCTGTCTGCTTATCTAGAGCATACTTCACCAGGTTTTCTGTGGAGACCTTATGAAAGAATACTGAAAGCTTTGCTAAAGTCAAGATAAACAACACTCACCGCTCCCTTCTCATTCGCCAAGCTAGTCATCTTATCATAGAAGGCTATCAGGTTGATTAAGCATAATGTCTCCTTCCAAAACTCAGGCAGACTACTCCCAATCACCTTCTTGTCCTTCCTGTGTTTAAAAATAGTTTTCAGAATTATTTGCATTATCACCCTTCCAGAGACTGAAGTGAGGCTCACCTGCCTGTAGTTCCCCAGGTCCTACTTCTTGCCATTCTTGAAGACAGGAGTGACATTACCTTTCTTCTGGTCTTCAGGAACCTCTACCAATTGCTATGACCTTTCAAAGATAATGGAGATTGGCCCCACAGTGATATTGGCTAGCTCCTCAGCTCTTGTGTGTGTGTTCCATCAGGTCACATGGACTTGTGTATGTTCATTTTGTTTAAATGTTCCCTAACCTGATCCTCCTCCACCAAGGGTAAGTCTTCCTTGCTCTGGACTCTTCCACTGGTCAGAGGGACTTGGGATTCCTGAAAGCCAGTCTTACCAATAAAGACCAAGGTGAAGAAGGCATTGAGTACCTCTGCATGTCATTCGTCACCACATCCCTAGACACACTCAGCAGCAGGCCTGTATTTTCCCTAATTTTCCTTCTGCTGCTGATATACTTGTAGAAGGTCTTCATGTTGACCTTCATGTCCCTCACCAGAATCAAGTCCCTCACCAGATTCAACTCTTGATAGGCCATATATGAGCTTGTGACCTGAAGACTTATATATTGGACTTCACACAGCAACAAAATTAAACTACTAGATTGTTCAGCAGAATTATCTCCCCTGCATGGTCTGTTGTACTGTACCTTGTGAAGGACTTAGCAAATCAAGAAAGTGCTTAGTTCTGGGCAAGAAGGCCACTTGGGACCACAGGAAAAATGCAAACATTTTACCTAATACATGTATTAATTAAGCAAAGGTGGAAGGTGAATCATCTAGTTCCCTACATCAAAATACTTCTCCACATGTGTCTATGTTTAAGCCTCAAAAGGTATAATAAGGCTTAACAGAAGGCATCTAGTGAGATTTAGGCCTCACAGAAATTAAGCGCCTGCCACTACGTGAACTTTCTGGGTTGCCTCCTGCACCTAAGATGTCTAATTACTATCTAGTCACCAATGTAGTCACTCCAGGTTTTTCTCTTGCACAGTACATCCTAAAGCACTGTAAAAGCATCAGTTAGAATTTAAGTGAATTGGCAAAGCTCTAAAAGGAAATTTGCATGACACCTATGCGAGACTACCTGACACTGGCTACTAACATTAGTCCCTCATTTACATTGATAAAAAATAATTCGCAGCAAGACTCATGACAATTCAAGATGTTTCAGACAACAGGATATAATAAAGCACAGTAACGAATTAGACACAGACAAAAACTGTCAAGACATATCATATATCCCTTTGCTAATATAGAAGTTCATTCTCAATGCAGGCAAGTAGTTTTCAGAGATCATATATAAGGCCCTTAGCAAGGGATTTTAGAATATTTGCTAAGAGTGTAGTTTGGATAATTAGGACAGAAAAGATTTTGTTTTACATAGATTTGACAACATTTTTGGCTGCTTTTTTCTTCAGTAAACAGCTCGTGCACACAAAACATGCCAGTTCTTAAATTTAGTTTACCAGAGAACCATATATGTAAATCAAACGAGTGTAAGATTACTTGATATTCAATTATTCAAGAGCAGAACTCCAAGACTGGGCACTAAAGTGAAAAGAAAATAATGGTGTATCCATTTATTTAAAAAGAAAGCAGACACCATAAGGCTTGTCTAAAGTACATGGATTATTTTATGTTTATTATGATTATTTTATGTATTATATAAATGTATGCATTAAGAATGATGTTATGATGTTTGATTAAACACAGCATTGACAATTAATTTAGGTGTGTTACCTGCAAGTTGTCTCCTAAGCAAAGTCTGGCTTTTATATACATTGGATTCAGGTGAATTGCTCTCAAGAAATCTTTCTGTGCCTGTTTACAACCACCTTATCTCATTTTCCATGCACAAATTTCCTCATCCAACATAGGCATCCACAGAAAGAGGATCTAGGTTGAGTACCTGGTTAAATGATGTCACAGCTTCTTCAAACTCACGAAGTCTAAAAATAGAGATATGAATGTTTGCTGTTTAAAAAGTCTATAAATAAAATTCTCCATTTATGAATAATAAGCAAATACTACCCCATAATGCCCACTGAAAGTAGTTCAATTCTGACTGAAAGGGACACTTTTTTTCACTTAAGTTTATTTTCTGTATGTGCTCTCTGATGGTTAGAACAGTGACGGTAGTCAGTGTAAGACCTTGCAGACTTCAGTTTAAATGCCTTGGCCTGAGGAAAACACCAGAACTGTCATTAACTTTGCTGAGCCAAGATTTCACTTTTTCAACAGTTGTGCTCAACAGAGAGACTTTATCTGAGTCATTTATGCTATCCATATGTCATGACCAAATATGTTTTTCGTAGTCTATTCAGGCACAAATGTTTCAGACAAAAATAATTTACTTCTAATATGAGGCTTGTATTTGAGTATACTCAGAAAAATTCTTGGAGAGAAAACCAGAGATATTAAGCTAAACTTGCAGGGTAAAAAGAGCCGATATTCAGGGTTTTAAGCACAGACCATTCTGGCCTAAGAGTAAGCCAAATGTGGAACTCCATCCTTAGATAAAACTTGATGTATCTGAGGTATACTGAGTACGAATAAAAAGGATTAAAAACCTGAAATGTCAATAAATACTAGTAAGTATCTTTAGACATAAAGAAAAAAATTTAATGTGTCAAAGTACAAAATCATTTCGCCAAGATGACAATGAAAGATAAGATACTGTTTGAATATAAGCTACCTGCATCTACCTGAAACAGAGCCTGACTTCTTTACCAAAAGAGGAAAGACTAAATATATTTAGCTAACAAATAACTTTAAGGGTTGTAAACCAAATGCTTTTTAAAAGCACAACACTTCTTGCAAAAACAAATTAGGGCTTCATTCCAACCCTGTTGATAGGCAGTCATGAGTTTAGAGACTGCAGAATGGATCCCAAATGCATCTTAAAACAGGCTATACAGCTGAGTTATATAGTAGTGACTCCTTTTGACAGTAGGATACAGACATGGGCACCAAAATCATATGCTCAGTTCTAAGAAGCAGGATTCAGCACTCCTGTGTGAGTTCTACGTCATCCAGACACTGTGAAAGATGGAGTCAATTATGCCCTAACTACAGGCACAGTAATACAAGAAGTTTTGATGCTACAATCCTGAGTACGTCCACCTCCACACTGCCTCAGCAGCAACAAGGTTAAGCGGTGACAGATGGCAGAGTAATGGTAGAATATGAAATAGATTAGACTAAACTAATAGGCAGATAGCTATTAAAATGTCCTTCTTATCATAGGTGACATTCATGTGAAACAGGAGCTATCAACTCCAAGTGCCACTATGATAAGTAGACTAAGTTACTAACGTGCATCTTACTTCTTCCATTTTATATCTATTTTAAGTGATTAACAGATTTAATTTAGTCTTTCCAAATAAATCTCATCTTGATGAAACTACACTTTAGAATTTCCACATAAAAAATTGAAGCAAGGAAGACCGTTGAGGCTTTTGCTTTTCTTTAAAGGACAAAGTACATATTTAAACAGAAATTGCATCCTAACTACTTCTGACCAAACCAACCCAACTCTGTTTATCTCATAATACTTTGTTCTTCTTCATGTTCTTCTGAATCATTTCAATTATTATGTAAGGATCACTTTAGGCTTCTGCACGGGAAAGCAATCAGTATGTAGTAAAAAAAAAGGTTCAGCTGATGATTCCACTGAACTACAACTTAGAAAGCATTTTTGACTTGTTCAAATTGAAAAAATAAGATGATGTGGAAGATTTTAGTACTGTTGGAATAACAAAAGTGGCAAAATAATGATGTGCATATATATATTGTTAAAATAAACCTCTCTTTTGGTGAACACGCTATCATAAAATTATTGGTCTGTTTTTTAAAAAACTACTGAGACACACTGTTCTCATCCAGCAAAGTCTTTCAAAGAATACCCAGCAAAGCTAATGGAATACTTCATGTGCACAATTTGGAGTACACACTCTGCTTTGTGTATGGAGCAGAGCAAAAGCAAGATCAAAGTTCCACAAACCAGGTTTGGTTTACTTAAACCAAAGGTACTAACCTCATAGGTAGCTGCACACTTCACAAAATCAGCAAAAAAAAGGAAAAGACACTCCTATATAGCAATTCAGATCTTATATAGACTGAATTGTAACTTTTCCTTTTCCTTCCAGTGTAGCGAATTCAGGAATATACTCACTTCAAGTAATATGTATCTCTGCCTAAGTAATTATACCCTAATTCAACCACCACTATACATGTATACGGATATACTCCTTGCAACAAAATATTATCAGAACTGATACATAAGGAGATCTCAAGCTTATTTATAATCACTGATGTTTTTCTTAAATTAGCTGTTATGTATTTGTGTCTCTTGTTCAATTACCATTTTATAAATTTGTCTTCACTACAATCCATTCAAAGAACTTTTTGCTCATCCAGCTGGTTCTGCCACAATCTCTTTCTACTGGCCTTACATACCAGTTTGTACCACCTCAGACTCTTTTCTGGACTATTCTGATAAACTGCATCTTGAAGCATGACAGGCCAATAACACAATATTCCTAATTAATTATTTCTATGCAAGGTCTACCAACTGTAAAGAGCTTTTGTTGTGCACTTCAAACAGGACATTTCTGTGCTGTTGGAATGGGATTGATATTCATTCTTCGTTTTTTTATCTGCAAATAAGAAACATTACTCAATTTGTAGAATGCCTATGCTGAAATTGTTGCCATCACATAAAGAAGACATCACTTTTTAAAGTTACTAGTCCACAATGGAAGCAATGAATGCACCAGTTATAATGAAAATAAATACCCCTGCTTTTAAAAAAACTAAAACTTTTAGAAAACTCATGTATGAAAGAGTAATGTTTAACACTGTTAGGTATCAAGCCTGCTATTGCTATACAAGATGGAGTCCCATGGAATGAGGGAGTCATCTGCACTGTGTGCCATTGTCAGAAACACATACTATTTCCTTACATTTAAGAAAATTATCTTGAGGTCAGACCGCTTCTGCCCTTTCAACAAAAATGGTAATTTACACACACGCGCATGCACACGCAGAGGAACAAAACAAGCCAAACCAGAACTTCCATTTACTTAAAATTGGTACTTATTTGGACCCAACATAAATTACTTCAAGATTAAAAAAGAAGGAAAAAACAGGTTCTTACTTATTAAATTCTGTGCAACTCCTGTGTTTAGCAGCATAAAATTGTAAAACAAGTAAAACTGCATTTTATTGGCATCTTCACAGCCAGACTGGTTTTAGGTGTTGAGCAAATGAGAACTGGGCACAAACTATTTCAGATTATAAAAACTGGTCTTTATATCAGCAATGGCTTACATTTAACAGAAAACTTTAAATTTCCTTTACTCGAAGAAGAATTTTGTACCTCACATGCATTAAAATAATCACCAATTTCCATGTAGAGTAGTCCACAATTAATGAACACTTTTAAAAGCTTTTTCCTTACTCAGTTCAAGCAGAAGAAGAATTCCATAATCTTTCAAATCCTACAAAAACATGAAATGTATTTTAAACCATAATTTATTCAGAGGGATACAATCATACTTCAAAGTTTAAAAGACTTGCTTTCAAATTCCTACAAATCATGTGCATAAGCATGGACTTCACTATGGCTATTTCAATGTTTCACTGTTTCCAGATTGAATTTAACTGAATGTGGAGCCTTCTATAACTACATAGATACCCATTCCTAGAGTACAGAAGCAAAGATAATGTAAACATATTAAACAGACATAATTAAAACTTGTCACTATATGAATTTCAGTTAGATCTAAATCTTAATTACATCTACTGCTAAATTTTACGTCCAAATTCTTATTAAAAAACAACATACTATTCTAGATTAATTAGTCATGAATTAATGTCAAAGGTACTTTTAAAATTACATGTCTTCAAATATAATTTATTGTTATTGAAAGATCTAAGCATTAGTTGTATTAAGCAAATACTGACATGACTAGGTAGACTGAAAAAGCCTCAATTCTCAAATTTATCAAAACTGAACAGTATTTCAACAATACTTGATCTGAAGAAGTTCCAGCCCAACCTTTTTTTCACCTGAAGAATGAACCTATATAGTATATTTAAGAATAATTAGACAGTTTAGAGCTAATATGACAAAAATGTCCTTGACTGCGGTATTCCATAAGCTAGCCACTTAAGAGAAGTTCTGTTCTTTGTCATTTCTAAAATAACCTAGATATGAGAAACAGCTTTAAAGAAAATAATCCAGTTCTTGTTAGATCTAGTAAATTTTTTCTGTCAATAATATACTACATTTTTTATGCAACTTCCCTTGTCCTTTAAGTGGCTTTTCTGGAGTGTGATAGCAAAGAACAACTTTTATAATACCTTATTTATGAAGGAACTATCATTTTCACACCTTAAAGTTTTACCTTCAGTTACTGTAATCACCTATTTTTCTTTACCCATCTGCATCATTCTTGACCAACTAAACTCTAAGCACAAATGGCCTTTGCCCAAGGTCAATTTGACTTGAGACATCCAAGCTCTAGCTTAGAAAACAGGCCTCATCAAAAAGACAGTTCAACATGATTGTGTTCCCAGTGCGAAGCTGCATGGTGCCTTTGTGTGCCCCATTGTGCCTTTGCTTTATAGCAAAGATAGAAACCAGAAACACTCAGACGCAGCTCACAGGCAAATTGACAGCAACATAAACAGAGCCAGAGAAACAGGGCTGTGTATGAGGATTGGATGTAGTCCAAACCCCTGTTTTGACGTAGTCTTCTTCTGGATATAGTTTTTATATTTTCAAAGAGATATCAAATGTAATTAATATGATAGTAGATATTAAAAAGGCTTTTTTAAAAAAACAATTTCCTGAAGAACACAGTAATTCAGGAACAACATTGGAAGAGTTCAGAAATTATGACTAATTGTCAATAGCAGGTTGCTAGCTAATATTAACAACAGAGTGCTCATGTGATGTCGAAAAAAATTAATACCATACCTGTGTGAAGCCCTTTATTTGATTATAACAGACAGCTCTGTTATAATACGCCAAAATGCAGGTTTTGTTGAGGTCAATAGTTTTTGTAAGATCTTCAATTGCTGCTTTAAATGTCTGCAAATGAAAAAATACTAGGTATGAATTGTAATTCAGAGTTCATGCAGCTACATATTCTTCCTCAAATAATAGCCTATTGTAAAATTTTATTTCATGGTTTTACATTTTTGTTCTTCATCTGTACTGAAAGGCATCCAACCATTTCACTATGTCCTCTATGGACCGCTTACTGCAGTAGCAGCACTTCTTCAGAAGCTCTATTTGTGCAAAGACTGGGCAAACAAACATTCCTAGTGTATTCTTACATCACATCCATATAGTGCAATACATAACCAATCTTTAATTTTACTAGCTTACATTTTATATCTTAACCTAACATAGAAGGTACCTTTTGTGGAGTTTTGATACTTCCGACTATCACTAGGTCAGAATCTATTCTGTTGAACTTAAGAGGAGAATAACTAGATAGATACTCAGTAGCTTCTCCAACCCATCAATTATCTTCAGTTACATAGAACAACTAGAGCGTAGCTTCAATGGGGAATGGAAAGTATAATAATGAAGTGAAACTCCTGTTTTCCATCAGCAGCACTTTTACCATTATTTCACCATTCTAAAGTGTCAAGTAAGTACATTAAATTTAAGGAAGAATGCAAAAGTGCAACAATAAATACCGTCTCACCTTATTTTGATACTTTAAAGTTCCTCGGTAAAAGTAAGCTCACTCACTGTTGGGAAGAATTCTGATTGCCTCATTGCAGTTCAGAATTGCCTTAGAGTATTTACCTTTAGTTCCATAGTAAGCAGCACGACTCATATATACCTGTAGAGATGAAGACAAAATGATAACATGGTAAAAAACCCGCTTTGTTTAGCATTATATAGCAAGCATTAAATAGAAGACAGAAATTAGAAGTTTATAAACACATACATTTTAGGAAGCTTGTAATTTCTTTTATTTAATGCTTGCCATGTGCTTGATGGCAGATTACAAGGCAGTACACCCATAAATGCAAAATCTGTCAGTCTTTGAACCTGTCCAAAAATGCCTCACAGAAACAAATTATCAGGAGTATTTATATTACCTGGAAACATGATGGACAAGGAGCAAGTGCTCAATTGAAATTGCGGATGCACTTAGCTTGTCTGAGCTGCATTCTACATAGCCCTCACTGATAAAAAGCATCAGGGTAATTTGAATGTAGTCTGATAGCCATACTAAAAGCATCATGGGCTGAAAGGATAACATATCATCTGGGTTAAGTATGGTTTGCTCAGCTGAAACCATAGGCTAACTGATTGTACAGCTAGGTATGACCTATTTTTGCAGCTGGAAGCTACCATGTACCTGCATTGGTTTTTATTACTTAAATCCACTTACCGCTACTTAAAATTTTGTAATGTTTAACACCCTACCTAATGTAATCAATCATAACCTCAGGAAGGCACAATCTAACTCCTTTAATAATCTCATTTCTTCAGTGAGACCACAGAAATTTAACCAAACACATGGTCTTCCGTATGTAAGAGCTGAAACACTGAAGATGTTTTATAATAAAGGACAATGGATTAACATGGCTAGTATGCAACCCCTTTAAAATCCATCCAGATAGTTTTTTCCTCTACATGGTATATTAGTTTACAAAGTCACGGGCTTTTCCAGGATCTACAGCTATAATATCAGATGTACATTGACACAGAAAGTCACCTTTTGCAATTGTCATGGATTACCACATTAGATATTTCAGGCAATTTTGACAGACATCTTCCAAAAGAATACCACTTTTGACAAATGGAGTTGGAAGCACACAAGGCAAGAAATTGTTCTCTTCCATGTGAAATTCTGGTATTTTGTAAGTTCCTAGTTTCTGTCTTGAGCCCTTTAGCAAATCAACAACCGAAACATATTTATTAAAAGATCAACATAGAAAATATTTGCCTGAACTCACACTAGGCCTGCCACAAAGCTCACTGATAGGCTTTCAATAGTTTTTAACAAAGACGACTCATACAGGTAAAAGTATTGATTTTGTTGAAAGAAGGGAAATATATTTTTCTCAGGTAATGCAGTTTATTTCTTACATATCATATATAAGTGCCAAATAGAATCAGCTACGGGTGTTATGAGCTACAGTAATGTACAAAACAGTTAACAAATTACAACCAACTCCGTAACACAATAATCTAGGAATTCCTTTGTCCAAGTTTTCTACCAATTCACTAAGCCACCAATACTCCTATGTGAGTGTTTGTCTATAAGATTTGTGAAGACATTGATAAAGACATAAGAAATTAATGTAGTTTTTATTCCATTAGAATGGCAATTAATGACATACATTAAAAAAATCAGAATATTAGCACTGGAAAAATGACTCCCAAACTTGCAAGACAGTCTAACGTACATCATGAATTCAAAGGAAAATGGCTAAAGGCAGGAGTGGATGCTGTTTAAAATACTGAAATCATTCACTCAGTTATCATAGTTGTTGTTTACAAGCAGTGGAGTCAAAGACTAAAATATTCTATATAATTAATACCAAACCGTAATAAACTTTTTTGCTCCATGTAACACAGGCCTGTGAGATAATACATTTCCACAGCCTCAAAGGTATTACGCAGGATTTTTGCTGAGGTCATCAGGAGCTTCATAGCTTTTTTAGAACTTCTCACATCATCCTGCAATATAGAGAATATTAGTAGTTGTAAAGCACTTCACTGAAATCCTGCAAGATTTGTTAGACATTTAAAATTATTTTTAAATGTTTTTTCTTAGTCTTTCTTTGGAACATAACAGTAAAAATTACTAGTTTAGTGTTCCTTGGTGTTGCTGGAGTTAGACACATTCTTGATCTCTGAATGGTTCATATTAATAACTGATTAAAACAGAAAAATATTTCTGAGTTTTATTTATGTATGACAAAGTAGCTAATGTACATGATCTATAAATGACATAGAGTTTGCTTGTCCTGTTATTTAAGTACACAATTATGATTTTTTTTTCATTTTACTTCTCTATTTCCTCGGGAAGAAAAGGTATACTTTTTGCTGGAGTCTGATGATAATGAAGTACTTGCTACATGTTTCTTCACGTAAATAATGTCAAATTATTTGTTCCATAGACAACATACTAAATGTAATAAACGTCAAGAAATTTATTGAAAGGATCAAGCCTGTATAGGCATTGAAGGAACTTAAGTGAACAGCCTCTCAGAATCTTACCATGTCTGATAGATCTAGGCAATAATTTATGCATATTTAAGAATGCTTTTGTTTAAAGGAGAGTGTAAGGAAAATAATCAAAAAATTAAGAACAGTTCAAGATAAGCCATTCCTCAGCCTTTGAGGATTATGAAATTGAAAGTTTCAGTATCAAGAGGAGTAAAAAAATTATAGCATTTTTTTCTTAACTGAGTCTTTTGAGAAGTATCTGTTTAGAAAAATCAGTTTGAAATAGCAGTGCCCATAGGGCTGTCTGCAAATACTACACGGGCCTCCCTAAGTTGTCAAGGCAGTAGAAATTTTAAACAAAACAGGTCTGCATTTACTGCTATTTTAAAAAAAAAAAAAAAAATTTCTCTATGCCTACATTCGAAAATACTCCTGTTTTTAGAGTAAAAAGAACTGTAGATACCTGAACTCACCTACACATAATTCTAAAGGCACAGCTGATTCTCAGGGCACTATAGCCTGAAGTCTGATCATTTTGCCATACTAAAAGTATTGTCTCATTCCTCTGTAGAAAAGATGGCAATGCAAATCCTCACCTCTGGGTGAAGCGCTTTGAGAAACCAGGGAATGGCTCCAACACACATCCTCTTAACCATGCCAACTGAAATGGGTTGAATCGGGGTGTACTAATGATCACCACTCAGCATTCTTTCAAAAACAGCAGAACTAGTAATGTCCTATTATGATTTGAGACAAATAAAATACCCAAGCCTAACGAAAAAAAGTTGAATGGATCAAGACGTTTTATCCAGTACAAGCCCAGGGAGCAGGAGTATAATTTGTGCAAAGTGAACACCTTTTCATTTAAAAAGAACCTGTAAACACAAGGCTAAGAGGAAACAGAAAGACTGTGCATTTCAAACACAGAACTCAACAGATAGATAGATTCAAGTTTTTATGACTCTACCTGTTGCTTGCTACTATTGTGTTTAGGGAAACAGGATTATGTACATTTTGTATAAACAAATAGGACTGTACAAAAAGAAACAGCTAATCCATAGTGCCAATTTCAACAATTCTGCAGGCCTCAAATACTGGCTAACTGCAGGACTCAGAGGACTGACAATATTCATTAAACCCTATGACATATGAGTATTCACAAAGCTGAGAAAATACCTGTAACTATGCATTATATATTCAGTTCATATACATGAATCAAACTTCTGTACTGCATTTTATTAGACAAAAAATGCTAGGCATACTTCTGTATTACTTAAGTTAAAAGAAGTAAAATTATAACATATAATAGACCTCAATCTACGTAATTGTATCTTTTAATTGATTGTCTTAAATGTTTTAAAAATAAATTTGCCTAATTTATGCTGAACTATTAGTGCTGCTGTTGGAAATTTTTACTCAGGTCTTTTTATTATTTATTTAAACAATAAGGTACTCTGAAGGTTGATTTATATACTAGCACATTGCATAAAATATTAAAAGAAAACAGAAAGAAAACCACTGTCTTGCTTGGCATACATATAATGTAAACTTTTCTAACCTTAGTTTTCTTGGCTTTCATCTGTATTTTTCCTAAAATAACAAACATTGAAGGCTCAGGTTGAGTTGCAGTAGCTTCACATAAGCACTCTATGGCCTTATGATTTTGACAGAATGACTGAACAAGTGCTTGCTGAACAGGCTGAGACATAAAGGATTCTAGGAGGAAACCACCACGAAAAACAATAATCTCTTGTACTTCAACATACATGTTTTCCAGTATAAAATACCTTTACATGTTATGCAAACTTTAAAATGCTATTAAAATATTTGGAGTATGGAAGCTTGTTTTAACATCCATAAAAATACAAATGTAAACAAAAGTCCTACAA